AACAACAATTCAGCTTCCCATCTCCAGCAATATTCTATGTCCCAAGGGGATGTTGTTTCCCTGTTTTTTTCTGACAGGGCAAAGCCTTTTGGAGGAAGAAAAAAATTAATTCTATAGTTCCCAGGAAAAAACCAAAAAGCAACACAACTCTCATGATGAAGGAAATGGTACAACCTCATCTACTCCTCATACTGTGAAATTATGACTGTTATACTTTTGTCAGCTAAAACAGTCCAGCAAGTAAAAAAAAAAAAAAAAAAAAAAAAAAGAAGGGCGTTAAGAGGTCAAAAACAGAAGAAAAATAGGGAAATTATAGCAATGTCTAAACCTTACATTTACAATTTTCAGAAAGTTTTTGCCTTGCCTTTCAAGCCAATGCCAATGCCAAATTTCCTTATCAACATTTTATGCTAAAACATCATCTAGTTAAGCTTCCCAAACCACACAGCATGGACATGCAGACCATGAGAATCTAAATGAGTGGGTTCCCTTATTTATCCCACACTATCAGTCGATTATTTGGACAAAAGCTTCTCTTTGTTCCAATTAATTCCTGCTAATGCTGAAGGGACTTCAAATCTTTGTCCTTCACGGAGCTGTTTGCCTCTCTCATTATTTAAAAAACACACGGGGAGGGTGCTCAGTGGCCTGATGCCTCTGCTGCAGATTGCTCTTATCAGGGAATACTCCCATCAAACACAGGGCAATTCCTTCTTGGCTCAGGTGAACTACTGGCTACAGACACTGCATGAGGCCTCTGAGTTATTATTTTCATGCCTCTAAAACAGGACCCTCATCAAGACGTCTCCTCTGCAAGAAACCTTTCCTGCTAAAACAATCACACCCAGGGAAGCTGTGGCTGCCCCATCCCTGGAAGTGTTCAAGGCTGCGTTGGACGGGGCTTGGAGCAACCTGGTCTAGTGGAAGGTGTCCCAGCCCATGGTGGGGGGTAGAACTGGATGATCTTTAAGGTCCCTTCCAACCCAAACCATTCCATGATTCTGTGACTTAATTTTCTGTAGAAATTCCGACTTCTCAATTAAGTTGTCAACAGTAAAAATCGAACGGGTTTCCAAAGCACCTGTGTGTGCCCCTCTATAATTTTTATTGTGAAAACACATTTTTAAAAATAATCACAACTAACTCTCCCCACATGGACACTTAGAAGTCCTTGGTTAAGCTACCTTAGGCCAGAGGTGTTTTAATCACAATCTTTAAAACATTTAGATGTATTTGAAAGATAATACAGGAATCTGATTCTGTTTGGCAGATTATGTACTGCATGACTTCAACAAGGTTCCCCTCGAGTGGCATCAACAGCAAAATTATGACTACTTTAAGCGAGAATTGCACATTTCAGCAGGCAGAGCTGAGTGCTCGAAGTTGTTCAGCCTGTTGCACAGAGAAGCCTGAAAAAGCACCGTGTGCCTTGTACTGAGTGTGACACTGAAATTACCCGTGCTACGGGCTCAGCCACAGCAGCCCATGCCCTGAGAAGTGCCGTGGGGTCACAGGGATGACAGAAGGTCATGGGCAGCGATGCTGCGGGCAGGGAACAAGGTCCAGGCAGGGGACCCTCGGGACAGAGGGGAAATAACGTTTAGATTTTTTACTCCTCGGTGACAGGAGGGGCTTTCTCCGGGCTGCACCCGCTCGGAGCCTCAGTGAGCTTAATCCAAACCCGCAGAGGTGTCGGACACCCGTGTAGGGGACACGCTGAGCCCCGCAGGCGGCTCCTGAGCCGGCCCGTGGAACCCACCGATGTTTTATAACCCAAATCCGCGGCAGCGCGCTCGGGGCAGGGGCCGGGAGCGCGCCCCGTCCTCCCCTCAGCTCGGGGAGCGGGACCCCCGCGCTCGGGCACCGCCCCGCGCCGGTGCAGACCCCCGGGTGGGACACACCCCCCTGAGGCGAAGCGCTGCGGGGGGCCGGGGCCGCGGGTGCCCCTCGGCAGCCCCAGCGCCGGCGGTGCCCGCGTCCCCCCCGCGCCCCCGGCCCGGCCCTGACCCACTAACACACCTCCGGCCAACATGGCCGCCCCGCCGCCCAGCGCCCGGCGCACCCTACCCCTGCCCGCCGCCGCCCCGCCCCCCGCGCCCGCTCATTGGCCTGCGCCCCGGCCGCGCGCGCCCCCATTGGCCGGCGCGCCCGCCGCTCACCCGCCCAGCGGCCCTTTCAAGCTTGGGTGAGGCGACATGTAAACAAACCCCCTCCCGCCGCGGCCCCGCGACCCCTGCGCCCCCCGGCCCCGCGGGGCTCCCCGGCCCCCGGGGCGGGCTCGGCGACGAGGGGTCCCGGTGTCGCGTGTGGAGCGTCCCCTGCCCAGCGACCCCCGCCAGGGCTGCGGGCGGCCCGGGCGCCCCCGGGGGAAGCCCCTTCGCGGGGCTCCCGCTCGCCAGCGAAACCTCCGTCCCCCCCGCGCTGTCGTGACATAAACGCCGCGCCGGAGCGGGGACGGTCCCTCCCGCGCCCTGCCCCGCGCTCGCAGAGCGGGGACCCCTCTCCGCCCGCTCTGCCCCACAGCCTTCGCTCCGGAGCAGAGCCGCCCGCCGGGCACCGGCGCGCCCGGGCACAGAGAGCCCTCACCCCGCGGGTCACTCCCGGCCCGCCCGGGGGCTCAAACAGGTCGCAAGCAGAGGAGGCGAATACGAGCCCGAAAGGCAGCAGAGCGCAGGGACTGCCGAGCCCTTCTGCCTCCCCGGACAGCCGAGCACACCCAGCGCTCCCCCGGCAGGACGGCGCTTCGCTCTGCGGGCGAGACTCGCTTTCCTTGTAAAGGCACGGGCTGTTCCTGCCGGGCGGAGGCTGGAGGGGACAGCGCCGACAACTCCCCGGTGGGATCGCGCTCCGTCCCCGCAGCCCCTGCCCCAAATCTGTCCGCCCCGGGACCGGACACCCCCCGCGCACAGCTGCTCCCCGGCAGCCACACCCCCCGCGGGGCGAGCGGGGCGGAGGGGCCGCCCGCACCATCCCCGTCCCGCTGCCCCAGGCAGGCACAGCCCTCCCTCCATTCCATTCCATGTCATTCCATTCCATTCCTCCCCCGCTCCCCGCAGCCCCCTGCCCGGCCACACCGCCTCCTCCTGCCGGACGCCCCGGACCCCCCAAGCCCCGCGGTCTCCTCGTCCCCCGGGCCCTTGCGGTGCCCCCCGAGCCCCCGCTCACCGCGCTCAGCGGGGGCCGCCGCCCCGCTCGCCCCGGCCCGGCCCCTCCATGCGGCCCCGGGTTTGTTTGTTTATGTCCCTTCCTGACGGGTTCCCGGAAATCGCGTGACTCGCCCCTCACGTGGCCCGAGGGGGCGGGCACGCGCGGGAGGGCGGGGGGAAGGGGGCCGCGCCAGCCAATCGCCGCCGGCCGCCCCGTCACGTGAGAGCAGAGGGGCGCGCGGAGGGTATTTAAGGCGGGGTGGCGGGTGCCCGCGGGCAGAGCCTGGCGCGGTGGCGGCGCGGCCGTCCCTGCGCTGGTGCCCGTGCCGGGCTCCTGTTCTGAGATCCTGCCCCCACCCTGGGGCCCTGGTCACATACTCACCTCCTTCATCCATCCACCTATCTTGTATCTGCAGCTCAGTACTTTTCCTACTGTCTCCAGCTACCCACACAACCACCTTTCACAGTGGCAGGTGGCTGGCCTGGACTGCTTAAGACACAACTGGAGAAATCACTGCTAATAAAAATAATAAAAGGCAGACCCAGCCGTTCTTACCTTGCCATTTGTAAAGAACATTTCTTCTATTGTTTAGATAACTTCTTTGCATTTCACCGCGTGGCTTTTATTTTTTTTTGCCCCAGAGATTCCATAGCATTTAATGCTGGAAACAAGGGACCAGCCACCCACCTCTGACAACTGACTCAGCTCTTCACAGGAGTAAAATGCTTCCACGATTTACAGTACAGGAAAAGTAAATTTCTAGGAACTCTCCAGAACAATTTCTTTTGCAGGTCAGAGATTCAGATATCTACATCTCCTACACAATATGAACAAAAGCAGGTGCAAGCATTTGTAACTTGACCTGAACTGTCACTCTACACATTGCCAGTGTTGATGACTTAAAAGTCTTCAAGACTTTGAAGCCGGTTTCCTTAATCTTATTTACTTTATACCTTCCCCCCCAAATACCTGTTTCACTGCAGACACAGGTTTCCTATTACAACCAACACAGGCTTCCTTAAACATTTTGTATTCTCGTCGCAAAACCAAGAGGGAACTGCTAAAGGCTCTGGTACCTGCACTGTTTGTTAAAACACCCTGAATCTGCTCTAATTTCCTGCAGTCATGCAAAAAGAAAAGGAATTATCCGAAGCACTGTTAATTCCTGGCACACATGGACACCACTCACAACCACGATGCAGACAGTAGGTCACACAGCATTCAGCAGAACAGAGATAAAACAGTGTTTTTTCAGCTTCTTCAGTCGTGCCACTACCTGACATTTCTTCAGAGGAAATATTAATCACTCTGAAAAAGGGGAATTTCTTTCTGGGTAGCTGAAGTGAAAATTGCTCTATAGCTTTTTTGTCCAGGCTTGGAATAGCTCTTTCCCTTAAATTCACCAACAGTGAGACACACCATGGGAATTTTGTTTTAGTTCTCTCTTCTACAGCAAGTGATAGCTTAGGACCTAAAATAGAAAGGCTGTTAAAGAAAGTGGTAATACAATACACTAACAGCACTGTTTGTTATGGAGTGTTTTCTTTTTGGATATCTCACTTGAGGGTAAATTTGACAAGCAGATCAACGTACTTTTAAATCTGTTGCACATTCAGATTTGTCAATGACGTCTTGAAGTATTTCTCTCACCCTCCTCATACAATGTCATCGTATCTTATTCTTCACACACTTAAAAATCCAAACAACCACTTAATGTTTTCTAAGATCATTTGGTTTCAATTTTCTTAGGAGCTATTTGCTACAGACTGTAGAACATGATGGTGTACGATGTCTTGCATGGTAAAACACGGCTCTCAGTAGAAGGTAACGTAGCAAAAAATTCACTATTCCAGTCCCAACAGTTGCTATGTTTATTGGTAATAAAGGGCACATTCTTCCTTCTTTTGACATTCACACTGTTCATTTTTTGATCACTGTAAGTTACATGTCAGGATCTTGGAATTTCTTGCAGAGTAATGAGCTCTATCCCACGGAACAAGTTAATGGGGCTATCCAAGAGGAAAAAAGGAAAAGAAAAAGGACCACTCCATTATGTCCTTGAGTATAACAATGAAACACAGCAGGGAATAATTGCAATTTATCTGGACATGATAGAAGCAGGTAAGGAAGCACTCGATCCATTCCCACCCTATCACCTAAGTTTCCTCAGCTCAACCCCAACTACTTATTAAACCCACAGAAAGGCACATTGTAACAGTTAAACATGGCACAAGAACATTTTGTATAAAGCAGAGGATTAGTTTTATTTCCAGGTGTGAGAAATTTAAGACCAAATTTCTCAGCAATACAACTCATTTGAAAAAACGAAAATGCCATCAGCTTGTGGCACCTCTGTTTCTCCTCTCCTCATACAGTTTATTGCACACATTTTCGTCAAGTGCAAACAGAACAGGGGTGAACAGCACAATGACAGACAAGCTAAGACCTGCAAGAAATATAAAGTGTTCCTAAAGAGTGAGGGAAATGAACAGGAAATCACTCAATGACCCGTAAAAACTTTAGAAATTTTCACCACTTCTGGAGTTAAGAGTCAAAAATCGACAGTACCAAAGAGGAGTATAAATTGCATTAGGCACACTGTTAAATGGTAAGGTAGGAAAAGTACAGGGCTTTGAACAAGCCCCTTGAAGCACAATAGAAAGGTTAAGGCATTACTGCAGGCTTGGTATCCAACCAGCTATGTAAAGGGCATCTTTGGGTCAGTGGAGTTTTTCATCTGGAGGAAATCTCTTCTTTACCTGCAAAGCAAGAGGCAACTTCATTATTCCTTTCCATGGAGACAGTTTACCAACTGAAGACCTGGTTGTTAACCACACCTATTTCCATTCCACAGACGCACTGAGAAATGGTCAAGAACTGCAGACAATTCATCTATGAGGATGTTTTCTTGGCAGTTTCATTTCTGGAGTTACTGCAAGTAGTTTTAGTTACATTATAAGCTGGTAGAACAACTATTTCCTCAGAATGTTTTCACTGCTGTAACAGCATTCAGTGATGTGGATGACAGCCATTCCTGCACTTGCAGGAAGACAGTTCCTGTTCTGAGAACACAGACTATGAATTGCCCAAGTTAAGGACAGGAGGCAGCATTGGACCACATTGTTTGGAAGAGTCCACAGCCCGTATTTACCACGGATACAGAGCTGTGCGTGCTCTTTATGTGCTGCCATCCAAGCCATTAACTTGGGGATATATGAAATGACTGCTATATAATCATCCCTTGAATTGGAGGGAGACTGACTGAAAACATAGACCAAACCTGTGTAATTTGGCATGGATCAATCAGGTCAGCATATGTAGAACTTCCCACCAGAGCTCACTGGAGCGTTTTCAGTTTGCTCAGTTGGTAAAATAAAATGGCTTTGCTTAGACCATCCCTGTTTTTAAATAAGATCTCTCGACTTTGGGAGTTAGTACTTCATTTTCTTTGCATTATCCATACTAATCCATCCAAACCTCAAGTGAAAGAAACAGAAGACAGAAAAAAATATAGTACGTCTACCTTTAATGCTGGAAAAGCACATCTTAAAAGCCAAAATTAACTGGTTGCTGTATTTATGGGAATCTGTGCAGTATTACAGGATATATTCAAACTCTTATCAGATGGAATCTAATTCACAGCTCCTGTCTAGCCAAATTCCACACGGAGCATCTGCCTCAACACTATGGGAGGAATTCAAACAAGACTATGTAAAGTGGTGTATCCTGTGACAGCACATTTCAAGCAAAAAAGAACATATATTTGAGATTATTATATGCTTTTACTTTTTTAAACCATTCTTCTTCACAGAAACAAGAACCTTACACCAAAATTAAGCCAATGAAATCAGATGCACCAAAGGTTAAAACAAACTACGTCATGTAACACGGCAGCACGTGCTGTGCAGGTCTCATATTCCATTAATAGGTTTAAAAATGACAGTTCCTCACAAACTCTTTGGCCATGTTTGAACATACTACTTCCCTCTCTTCCTTGGCACTAATTTAACTTCAGTTCTCTGGAAAATCCTGGAGGGGGAAAGGCCCGACTCTTTCAGCAGGCACTGAAGAGTTGTATCTCACCTCCAGGCTGTCCTTGCTGGTTTCAACACAACATGAAGCCAAATTTTTATTTCCAAGGCATCCACTTGTCCAGATAACCACATTTCAAGATCCCAGGCACACTGAATCATCCTATGGGACTCAGGGATCTGTATGCCCATTACCAAAATACACTGTTCTCTGTTTTAGCTCACTAATTATATGTTAACACCCGAACAGTGAAATTGCTCCTAGGAAATTCTGCTTGACTGACTTAGCTAATTACAGGCCTCGACTTGAAGCAGGGCCAACTCTACCTTTAGACTCTGCTTGGTGCTTAAAAGAAGCTACAGACACATTCACGTGCCCCCAGTCTGACAACAACACGGTTCTCACAAAGCTTTCTTTGAAACAGAGGAGCTTTGCTTCAGCGTAAATGTCCAGGACACTTTACAGACAGTATTTAACTGAGCTATAACATCAACTCTCACTGTCTGCAGTGCTGGATTTCTGGGAACAGAAGCAATACCAGCCAGGGAGTTAAACCTGAAAGGACAAAAAACCCCCGACAACCCAAGTAAAAAACTTAGCGTGTCTGATTATTCAGTTACAAGCATACAAACTAAACTTGTTTGTGCTTGTTTCCACATTTCCTTCATTTGAACCTTCAACTCCAAATGCTGCCATTCTGGAGAAACCCAACAGCATCAAGGTACTTTCAGAACAACACTTTATTTTTGCTAGCCCTATCAGAAAGCCCAGGAACGGCAACAACCACATTCCAGCAGCACAGCCCAGATATCAACCACCAGGCTCACCTGGGATTAAAGTTGCACGCAGGCTGTCATTAAAAACATAATAAGCCATCCAGCTGTGAGCTCAGGGTTAGAGCTATATATTGACAGGAGATAAAGAACACTCTAATCACTGTTCTCGCTCCAACTTCCCAGATGAATGAGGGCAACTGTAGGTTGCCTTGGAAATCAGGACAGGTCTTAGATGAAATGGTAGTAGGCTTGAGGAGAGGTTTAACAATTGTTCAAGATTAGGAAATCCACTTATGCTAGCTATTAAAAAACACCCCAGCCCAATTTTTTGTTTGTTTTTAGATGAAATGTTTTGTTCTCCTTACAAACCCCTGAGCGCTACATGACAGGATAGAAAGAAAAATAACTGTCAAGAATTCAGTCCAAGCTTTTCACGAATCCAGTCAAGATTAACATCCAAAACATGTTTTGTTGCAGCCTATAGAGGGACAGATTTCTCCTGCAAAACAGCCACAGCAGTTCTGACCACACTGCTTAGACCACCATTCAATTTCTCCTGAAGCTTTAACATACCAAATATATGAATAAATCTGATCATACTCACCTACTCAGTTAATTGCAGAGGAGGACAGACATCCTTAAGGCCAGTGATATTTAAGATACCAGATTGTTTCATTGCTTAACTGCGGCCCAAAGAGAGGGTTGAGTTGAGCCAGAATTGCAATCAGCCAACTGCAAGACAACCCCCCAGCCCAACAGAGAAAACATCAGCCAAAATACAAACCTTATGGTAAAGGAAAGGCTTGACCAAAGCACAAGGACTGGCAGAGAAGAAAAGACCACTTTCAAGAAGATGTAGTAACAGATGAAAACTCTACTCAAGTTCATGCACAAGGACCAGACACAGGCAATGAAGTTATGCCACCAAATCTTTCTGCAACTGAAATAATTGTCCTGTTCAATTTAAAGCAACACAAAACCACCTGACAGCATTTCCCTCGTACTTTGCCTTTGATAGGGAAATGTTTTTAGATACAGAAACTCAGGTATTAGTGGGCTCAGAAGATAGAAACATAAAAGAGACAGACTTTCCTCAGTGCCTTTGAAGAATCCTTTAAACAAAAACCTCTGAGAAACATCCTCTCTCTCATTTGCTTTTCACTGCATGACAACCTGCCCTTGCAGAAAATGGTGTATTTCCAGAGACTGAACAAAACTGAATTTAAACCCAGCCCAGAGGTAAAGGAACATGGGACCTGAAGCAAAAGGGTACAATGCTATAGGAATACACACAAATAAAAGGACAAAAAATTATCCCACAAGAACAAACCCAATACAACAACAAACCCCAGACCCTGAGCAGAGCAGCCTTGTCATCGGAGCAGAGCACAAACTAACACTGCAGAAGCCACAGCCAGAACTGAGAACAAGAGGAATGTAGTTTGTGGAAAATATCCAGGAAAGCTAAACAGAAATAAATATTCCACTGTTAAAAGATATATTTGCTTTGTAAATTTTACAAGAGTCAGAGAAAGCAATGGATGCTTCCATGGATTTAAATCTATGTTAAATACTAACTATATAAACACATTTAGTGAACACACTGGCTCATCTGTCTGCTATTTCTAGAATGCTTTGTAAGGAGGAGAAAAAGCAGAGCAGCTTTGTAATGGGAGCTGCCACAAATGTATCAGAGTGCTTAGGCAGTCATGGAAAATTCCACACAAACCTTGATGCTCTGACCAGCAAACCAAGTGCAGGTCGGCTGCAAAACGCCTGGAACAGCCACGGGCAAAAGATGTGGGTCAGGCTTAAAGAAAACACATCAATCCTCTTACAATTTACAAATATTTATTTGCAATGCCCCTTTCAGTTTTGCAGAGAGTGGAACTCCAGTTAAAACAAGAGGCTGATCCTGCAGCAGCCCATCAGTCACATGAGCCTTGGAATACACAGCAGGCTCTTCTGCGGAATTAAAACATCAGCAAGACACCTCTGAGAGCAGCCAACAACCTTTAGGTTGACACGTTTTTACTTTGCTGTCCAAAGCAGTGACAATGTGCTTTGAGACCATGCTAATCGTTGTGTTAAATCTACTTAAGGGAAAAGCAAATTAGCTCTTAAAATTATCACGGAATTTATTTTGTGCGGGTTAATTTTCAGATACAACAGGGAGATCGAAAGGTGCCAGAGCACTGTGCCATCTGCCTTCAGCATCCTGAAGTAACACAAGTGGGAGGAGGGTAGGAACACTAAAAGCCTGTTAAAGCACATTATTCTTTCTCACGGTACAGCAGGAAGGAACTCCACGCACCAATCTCTCACCTCTCGCTGCTTCCCAAGTTCAGGCCCAGCATGGCTGTGAATTAAATGAGCTGGGAACACATTCAGAATATCACCCTATGTAACCAGGCTTTAGGAAAAGCACCGTGCATTTTTCAAAAGGCATTTGTTGGGGCCATGCTGGATACCCGAGCTCTGAGCCACGGTGGCATTAGGGCCATAGTTACATTCCTTCTCCTGCTCTGTGAGGGCCTGGTAATTTAAAACAGTAGTTATTCTACGACTCCCTTGCATTCAAGGTAAGTCATGGAAAAGCTTTTCCCATGTTTTGCTTAAGCTATGCTGCTTTATACAATAGTCCATCATGACAACACAAAAAACCCTGCAGCATTCAGAGTAAGACAAACCTCTGTATCCAACGGGCAATGTTCTGGAGCTGCTAAAAGCAGGTACGGCATTCGAGCCACCCACAAGCCCTTAAATTCTACCAGATCCCACTTAGAACAGTTACTGTTAATTACCCAGCTCAGACAAGGAAATTAAAGTCCCTTCTGTTGTACCAGAAAGATTTTTTAAAAGGTCTTTCCACCATAACTGCCATCTGTCTGTGCTCGTGTTGCAAATTAAGGTCCTGCTATCTCTGTTTAAATGTCAGCTTGGGTATCCGTATTTTAATCCTCTTAGCATCAGTAGCAAACAATACCATTTTCCAAGCACCCTGCCCTCTGTTAGGACATCATGGTACTGTTCAGGAACTGCTTTGTAAACAGCAAAGAAGATTTAGACTTTGACAGTACCTCACAATATGGTGTAACCTATAATTTCTGCAGCAGTAAGACTTTGCCTTGTATTTTATGAGGTTCCTGAGGGCTGTATATTCTCCTTCAGAAGGCTGTTGGGTACAGGATCTGTACACAAAGTAGGCACTTACCCATGCAAATATCTTCCACAGAACAACCAAGTGAACACCATGTAATCAATATGGTTATTCAAAATTACTACTGTTAAATCTAAACACGGAATAAACAGCTTTGAGTTGAAATGTGATTGACTTGAAATTCTGCTAGGACGAATTTGGTTTGATGAAAATCAATTTGACAATCCAGTGGTGTTTAAGGAGGACAGAAAATTGTTTTTTTCCTACTTTCAACTGGAAAGGTAACTCAGAGAACATGAAAGTAGATCCAGCAGAGTTCTAAACTCTACAGAGAAGTAGACAATAGCACCAGCCACCTGCTAAGGACACACAAATGCAGAAGACCATACCTGGGACAACAAGAATTATTCAACAAAGAATCCTCAGAAGCCATTCTCTGGGCTTCCTTCAAGACTGGTATGAAAAATCAGTGTCTTTCTTTAGTCACCAAAATTAAGGTCTGAAATGTTTTCAGTGCCTCCTCCCCCAAAAAGGAAGAGGACACAGAAACAACAAACTTCCATATGGTTGAGGAAAGAAAGGTTGGACCAGATGATCTTTCAAGGTCCTTTTCAACAAGGGCTGTTCTATTTTACATGGAATAAATGAGAAAAAAAAAAAAAAAGACTGTGGGATGAGGCAAGTTCTATCTTGGAACATGAGAAGAAAAATCTGCTTTTTGTTGCATTCTGGCAAGCAGACACTACAAATGTCATTTATGTGGTTGGGTACAACTACTGAAGTCTTAAAACATCCTAATTTTTTGCTGCTTCTCTTTTTCCAAGATACAACTGGAGAAAGCCAAAGGGAATTTAGAAAACAAGTTGGAGCCTACAAAATTACCAACAAACCCCCTTACTGGACATGCAAGAACAGATTATAAAACATGATAATGACTTGTAATGGATCTGTTTAGGTGTGAAATCCACTGAAGTTACAAGTGAATGCTGAGTTCACAGCATTCAGTCAAAAGTTAAGAAATCCTACAACAAACATATTCCACATCATAATCCAGAGGATGCTGCAGATGCCACATAGCCTCTGCTTCAAGGAAACTGCCCTTCTTCATACAATACAGACAAACAAACCCTAAGCTTCAAGGATTTTAGAAGAGTGGGACATTATTTCTGTAGGAAAAAAACAAGTGAGAACTTAAAACTCAAACAAAGCTCAACCCTCCCCCTAAGAAAAAAACACAACCCAAATTACTGTAACCCAAATGCAGTAACCAAGTAAAAATGACCAAAAAGCTGCCCTTTCTTAGCCAAGCCTTTGGGACCTACTGTGAGGCTGGGCTGCTTCATACTTTATGTGCAGGCATGGAGACCTTCATAGCACTGAGACTCCCAGATTTCAATCCCAAATTCAAGCTGTTTGCACTGCAAAACTCTTCTCAAGTTTCTATGTCCACTGAGCAAAACTTTAGCTTAAAAACTGCCAGGGATATAAAACACAGAACAAAGTCTGCTGGACTTTTACAGTTAACCAATAGAATGATTTCTTAAGACTTTACCTGTCAAGTACTCCAAATAAAGAAATAAAGTTTTAAAATACCTCACCTGTATAAAACCTGAATATCACAATATTAGACTAAACCGAACCTGTATAAGCTTGAACCCAACACAGAACCAAACAGGCCTCTCCTGGAACATGCCAACAGATAATATCACATTTGGCTGCCAGTTCAGAATAAGTCTTGAGATTCCAAATGCATTTCTCTAAATATTCATATTAAGCTGCTTTGAGTAGCATAAAAAATGCCTCAATAGTTCAGGAAAGTACAAATACTACTCAGGTTCAAATGGGACTCTAAATAATGATCTTTGTTACAAGATTGAACCAGACTTACACCAATTCACTCTCCATAACAAATTCTTTCCAAGTTATTTCTGCATAGCATTTTCTTCTACAAACTAAGTCTCTAAAGTCTTAAAAAAAAAAAAAAGAGAGAGAAAAGAACAAGCACACTTTCTCTTGCAGACTCCAGCTACAGCTGGCTTGCCTCCTGATAAATAACATGATATGAGGAGCTCTCAGCAAGTCACTTTGTTATTGCTACTAACTCTCCTACAGAAAAGAGGCACCCTCCAAATATGCTGTGCATTTAAACAGAAATGGTCTTAATATATCAAAGTATCACTATAAAAAACCCCACGCAGAAGTTTTTCCACCCACCGCTCTACCAGATTTCCAGAATAAATTCAACCAAACTAAGGGCAAAACTCTTCAGTACGTTTGAATTAGTAACACCTCAGAAATCAGCGTAAGGTATAAGGAAGGAAAAAGGCAAAAAAACCCAGTCTGTGAATCAGAAAAATCCTAGAATTGAGCAACTGCCATTATACATGTGAGCAAATGAGGCAGTGAACTGGAGAGGAGGAATATCGACAGTTCACAGTTATGTGTCAGAGGACAACAAAAGGAATTCAGGTTCATTGTAATTCAGTGTTTTCCAATGGGAAAATGTTTTCTTTGGCACTTTGGAGGTCTTCAGAACTAGGAATTCTAAGAGCTGTCAAAGAACACCGTGCGTCTAAATCTCTGCGACACATTCAAAAAGCTTCTTCCTGAAGGTTCTGAGGCCGTAAAAAAAGGAATCTTTGATCCCATCAGAACTGGGCCTTGGTCAGGAGGCAAGACATTATTTATACTTACAACAGGTAGCAGCAAACAGCACATGTCACCAGCATTGTGTTGATAACACTGCAAAGAAGAAGGAGAGAAACAGCTGATCAGGTGTCATGTTGTCACTGACCACAAGATACATCGGGAAAAATAATCCCAGCAAACAAGAACAAGTTTAACTTTGATCATATGAAGGATGACTCAACATGAGTGTTCTGACTTCTTCCAGCTGAGTAAACTACAGAGGCACAGCACAGACTCTGCAAAAAGACTGACACAGCTCTGGAAACAGAAATTTACAGCTGTATTTAACAAAAATCACTGTGAGGAGGAGCAAAATCTGATGCAGTGTCCGTGCTCCATTTCACAGCCAAGGCTGCCAGCACAGTAAATCACTGAAACTGGATGTTACTGTACACAATAAACACTTTCTACATTTGCAGAAGTTTATTTATAGAAAATTTCAGTGTCAAATTATAACTTTTAATTTTCTAGAAGAAATGAGGGCTTTACAAATTGAATACAAAATAAAATGTCAAAGCCACGTGACATGATCTGTAGTGTAAGATTTCCCTTTCCTGCTGAAAGAGAACTGTGTCAGAAAGCACAGTGAAGCAGAAAAGAAGGAAGAACCAAGCTCTTGCAACTGAAAACGGTAAAACTGCAGCTACACACACAGATGGCTTTGAAATGGGAAGAAAGGAAATGAGGTTTTCTAACAGTGATCTCTGCAGCTCATGGCAAAGTGGAAGACTTTTTTTTCTTTTTAAGTCAGAAAAAAGAATTTCCCTCTATCTATTTCCTCCCCCAACTGAGTAACAAAATCTTATGGTAGGGCAATATCTTCCAACCCCTTTGTGACGCAGTAACTTCAATATTTTTCATCAATACACATCCACTTTGTCAACTTTCAAATGAATGCTGCAAAGCCAACACAGCCTGGAACCTTCCCAAGGAGTCCCAGAGCCTTTGTTTGGGAGTTTTAACCTAGGCAGTGGGAATTCTTAGGTCATGTAAAGTTCACACTAACTTCTTTTGCTAGAGAAAGAGCAATCCTATCCAGAAACAGGCTTTGCAATAATTTTTTTAAGAAGATGGGAAGTGAACAGACTACAAGGTATTACTGTAGAAACAGAACACAGAAGTGCTCTATTCACACTTTTTAAATAATCACACTTTGGAATAATGATACAACACATGTTCATGACCCACATATTTCACAGACTTTCATGCCTGGAAAACATATTTCCAAGGTATTCCTGAGGACAGACAACTTTCCAGGCATAAAAGGCTTAAAAGCAGAGGCAGTAAATATCAGAGCCTGAGGAATATTCCTCTGGGCTTAGATAAACAACTGAGAGAAAAGACAGTTGGTACCTGTGGAGCAGAGGGGGTGTCAGAGAGAGGAAGAGGTTAAGAAGTCATTATCTCCTAGAGAAAAGAGAAAGACAAAAACTTGTCTGCTTTTTAATCTGAGCAGCCACAACCACTGCAGGAAAACCCTCTGCTTAGATGCCCCACTGCTGTCCTCAGCTTCAAGGGCACCAGCACACATTTAGGACAGAACGGAGACCTCCTACAGCAACTTTTCCAGCGTGAAACCAGAGGATGGTGGAGTAAGTTAGGAAAGGTCAAGTAAGGAAGGAAAGAGGAAGTTATTGCTCAAATGCCACCTGACTAACAACGAACCTCCTTGACACAGGGCGCTGTGTCTGCAGAGGTTTCACCAAAGGGTTTGGGTCGGAAGGGATCCTTAAGATCACCTCACTCCAACCCCCGGCCACGGGCAGGGACACCTTCCACGAGACCAGGCTGCTCCAACCCGGCCTTGGGCACTTCCAGGGATGGGGCAGCCACAGCTTCTCTGGGCGACCCGCGCCAGGGCCCCGGGGGAAAACCCAAACCCGTGTGGGGTTGCGGGGGCACCGCTCGGCTGCGGCCCCTCCGGTCACGGCCCCGGGCCCGCCCGCGCTGCGCCAACACTGCGGGGGAGCCCGCGGGGCTGCGGGGAAAGCTCCGCCGGGGCCTCCCCCCGCTCCCGAGGGGCCGGACGGGCCGGGCCCGCCGCGCCCCGCTCACTCACCCGCGGTTCGGGCCCTTGGGGACGAGCCAGGGCAGGACGCCGCCGACCACCCCCCAGAACACGCTCATGACGATGATGGGCACGGCGAGGCCGGGGTACGCCATGGCCGGGCTCTGAGGGAGCGGAGCGGCCCCGCCCGCACAGCCCGCACCAACCCGCGGCCGCCGCGTCACCGCGGGAGCGCGCGGGGCGGGGGCGCGCAGGGGCCGGGCCCGACCCGTCCGGTCCGCGCTTCGGAAACGCCGATCTCCTCACAGGGGAGTTTGGGCACGGCACCCAGGGCTCTGGCGGCTCTCCAGCCCCAGGAGCACCGAGGAGTTACCGGCTTCGACCCACTGCTCTACTCATCGCACCGTATCTTTTCCCTGTTTATTGCCCACCCGATGCTGCGACGTCTCCATTCGTTTGTTCATAATCGGACCCCGGGAAAAACAGGTTGTCGGGTAAGGGGGACAGAGCTCCAAGGGCTGGTTCTGAGCTCCTCAGGAAACTGGGGGACGTGGGACAAGGTCCCACAGGGCAGATCCGCACCAGGAGAGCTCCCGGTGGTGAATGAGCCCTAAGGGCTTCCTCAAGCACCGACTCAAGGCAGAGGTATCTCATATTAAGCAGCACGAACCAGAGGGACAAACATGAGCCTGCATGAGAAGGCCATTCACAGCCCACCAAACAAAAGCTTTGCCTTCAGGCTCATGAAAGACTTCCCCAGTGCAAATGCAACTTGTCTCGATTCACAGCATCCCATTTTTCAGATCCTGGTGTTGTGCAGGCAGATGAATTTCTTTCCCTCTGTCTCAGCAGTCAGAGGGACACTCACTGAGGCAGTAAGTTCTCTTAAGTTCAGTGTTGTTTTGAACACATTGCAGCCACTCTCAGTATGTACGTATAGTGCTAAAAAGAACTTCCTCTCACGGGAGTTCATCCAAAATAGCACCAGAACAGCACTGAGACTGCTTCAACCCTACCCTTCTCAAACCAGTCAGCTCTACCTCACAAGCACTGGGGATAAAAGCCCTGTCAAGCTCTACCAATTATGTAAGGCCTGAAGAGATCACACAGCAAATTCAGTGCCTGTTTGGCCACAACGTCCTCGATAAACCTCTAAAATGTCATGTTTTACTGTCAAATTCATAAGACAGTTGAAAAATAATTTAAGAGGATTACAAATGCATGGCCAGCAATAGTTTACTTCAAATGCCCAATAAAATACTAAATATATACAGTGCACAGAATTAAAATGTTAATTTAAAAACATGAACACATCTAAGGAACTGTTAAAGACCTGTGGAAGAGACAGAACTATGAGGACTGTTAAATTTGTGTTTTCAGGATTGCACTGGTCTTTCTATGCTTGGCTGAAACATTCCTTTATGGGGAAAAAGAAGATATAAAAAGCTTTTTAATTTAATGGGAGTATTTCTTACATAGTCAAAATAAAAAGGAATATTTAAAGGCTGAGCAGGACACACCAAACCAAGACTTTCTAAATGAGAAGACACACAATACGTTGAGTTTTAGCAGTTCTTTAATGGTGTCAAACAGGAACCATCTATTCTTGCATCTTTTCGATTGTTTCTTCTTTGTACTTGCCCTTCTCCTTCCCAACCTGGCGGGACTTCGCTTTACGCTCCAAGATCTTCTTGCGATCCTTGTCCAGCTTTAGCCTGGTGATCACCACCTGGAGAGAGGACAAGGAATTCAGTGTCCCTGCAGAGTTATGGACAGCAACCCAAGGGACCAGTGGTTACTGCAGCTTGGCCCCAGCACACAAGTGTTATTCCAATGGATTATCTCATTTGGTTTCAGTAAAACCGAGGTACTGAACTGACTCTGTTCCACAATTTTCCCAGGCACACCCAGGAATCAGAGTACATGGATAGTTCTTTCAAATGCACAGCCAAAACACTGCACAAAGTGAAAAGCAGCCGAATTGAAGGACATATACTTTCCATTATTCTGCTCAAACATGAGGGATACCACATCCACCTGAAACACAGGAGAGCTGATCCCACCACAAAGGCAAGTCAAAGCACCACAGTGACTATAAAGACACTTTAGAGAAAGCCTGCTATGGCACAGCTGTGATTATCAAATACGATTGACATATAAAGGGTAATTCTGCAGACCCTTCACTGCCACTTCCAATTCCCTCGATGGGATTGCAAAGAAAGCACCAGCGAACCGAGGCTCTGATTTCCAGCCCAAAAGCAGCCTTCAGTGTTTTTCTTGGATCACAGAGTCAAGAAATAAATGTGTTGGTATAACTGAAAGCAGTACTTAAAAAATACACCTGACAATCAAATCCTAGAAATCCCGTAAGAGCTGCAGCAGGACTTCACACTCCTCCTCAATTCCTTGTGTATTTAGGTCTCTCTTATTTGTAATTCCCACCTCTCTACCCAGTAGGGGTACAAACTGTTCATACAGCCCACTGCAAGTCTGCAATAAAACATTCCTCTGCTCCTTTTGCATTAATAACCAGAAGCTTTGTGCAAATCTTTATCAAGGTCTGGTTCCCAATTAATGAAAACTTTCCCAGAAATAAAGAACCAGTAGAAAATTCAATTTCTTTTACTGCTATTCACCACACAACAAGTATGTGCACAGGCTCCACCACAATGTCACCTTGTCCATCAGATGTTGTTGCTGCACACAAATCGTGATGTTGTTTTGCAATAATTCTGCTCTCCCTCTGCTGAACACACCAACCATTTACAGCACAAAACCTGTTACAACTGGATTTTTTCCACCTACACTTCCGTATGTGTGCCCACATGGCAAGGCTGAAGCAGACTAAATTCATCTGCTTCAAACCAGGTTTTGGCGAGTGGTTCTGTTTAGTTTGAAATGTTTCCTGTTATGATCCAAACAGTTTTAATGACTCTCCACACTTCAGGCTAAAACCAAGTTCAGAAGAATTTAGTTGACAATAGCCCACAACAACAAATCCTGATTCTGAGCATCTATTTAAACATTTCTAACACCTCCTCAACCAGTGCAAATAACACATAGCAAACATGAAGGATCATTCTAAATGATATGTTTTGTGGTTTAAAAACATCAAGCCCTTCAAAGTGTTTCAGCAGGACTCCAAAGTCTCTAGTGGCTTTCTAACCCCAGAAACAAAGAGAAGTTACTGGTTTAGACTCAATTCTCTACTCATGACACTGTAACATTTATTTTTTATTTGGGTTTAATACCCACCCAATGCTGCAGCATCTCCATTATATATAGAATCACAGGATGATCTGGGTTGGAAAGGACCTTAAAGATCATCTTGTTCCACACCCCTGCCATGGGCAGGGACATTTTCCACTAGACCAGGTTGTTCCAAGCCCCATCCAACCTGGCCTTGGACACTTCCAGGGAATGGGGCAGCCACAGCTTCTCTGGGCAACCTGTGCCAGGGCCTCACCACCCTCACAGGGGAGAATTTTTTCCTAATACTTAATCTAACCTTACCCTTGTCAGCTTGAAGCCATTCCCCCTTGGCCTGTTACTCCAGGCCCTTATAAATAGTCTCTCTCCATCCTTCTTGTTGGCTCCCTTCAGGTCCTGGAAGGCCACAATTAGATCACCCCAAAGCCTCTCTTCTCCAGGCTGAACAATCCCAGTTCTCTCAGCCTTTCCTCACAGCAGAGCTGCTCCATCCCTCTAATCATATTTGTATCTCCTCTGGAACTGGTCCAACAGCTCCATGTCCTTCCAGTGCTGGGCCTCCAGAGCTGGAGGCAGCTCTGCAGGTGGGGTCTCACCTGAGTGGGGCAGAATCCCCCCCTCACCTGCTGCCCACGCTGAGGGATCAGCCCAGACATGCACAGGGGAGGTTTCTGGGATGGGTCATGTCCAGCCTTCCCCCAACCAGCCCCCCCAAGTCCTTCTCCCAGGGCTGCTCTCCATCTGTGCATCCCCAGCCTGGATTCATCCTGGGAGTTGCGCTGACCCAAGCGCAGCACCAGCTCTTGGTCACAAGTTCTACTCGTGCCAGTGTCCGTGTGTGCCCTCAGCCCTGCCCACTGGTGTCAGACCCCAGGTGCCACCGTACCTTGCTGGGGTGGATCCCCACGTGGACGGTGGTGCCGTTGGCCTTCTCGCGCTGCACACGCTCGATGTAGATCACGTACTTCTTCCTGTACACCTGCACCACCTTCCCGATCTGCTGCCCTTTGTAGTGTCCCCGCACAACCTGAAGGCCGGCACAGAGAACACACTGACCCACGCTCCAAAAACACCCCTTTGAACAACCACCACACCTTATAAACCACTACGGGACACCAGCACTGCATGGACTGAAATCCTACCTCAGTTCTTTTCCCACATCCGCCACAAAGTGACTTGACATCAGTGACTTGACAATTCCTGCATCACTAAAATACAGTGGATCAGAACTGTGCTTCGCCCTCACTCTCCTGCAGTAAACCCTAATGAAGCTCTGTAACTTTTCAGCCACAAGGCTTCAACTTGAACAGTTATCTTAATTTTTTCACCTGTCATTGTATTTTATATAGAAAAACCTACTTAAATTAGATTCATTTCCAAACCAATCTTTTATATATCACAAGCAGCAAATAGTCTATAAATGTGCTTTATTGCTGAAAACTTTTAATCCAGCACAACAATAAGTGCACATAAGTGAAGTGCAGCAAAACTGCCAGCACACTTGTGTTCCTTGTATCATCTTTGTCACTGATGTGAATTTGAGAAACAAAACGTGCTTGACTAAAGCTCAAGTCATGACTAGATGATCTTGGAGTATTTCTGCAATACCCAGGGCAAAGCTGCAGCACTGATGTGAATTTGTCTTGTCCTTCCCTTTCACACAGGCTACACATGGAGACAGGACCCCAGAATCATTTAGGTTGGGAAAGACCTCTGAGATCAGAGTCCAAGCTGTAACCCATCCCCACCTTGTCACCCAGCCCAGAGCACTGAGTGCCACGTCCAGTCATTCCTTGAACACCTCCAGGGATGGGGACTGCACCACCTCCCTGGGCAGCCCATTCCAATGCCTGACAGCCCTTTCTGTGAAGAAATTCCTCCTGAAAACTAAACCCAGGCAGAGCTTCCCGTGTGACAGAGCAGCCCAGGGCAGTGCGGTACCTGGACCTCGTCGTCCTTGCGGATGGGCATGGAGCGCACGTTGTA